CTGAGGAAAAAAGTTGAAAAAACACACAACAGAAATTAATACCATTTCGTAAATACATAAAGGCATAAGTAGACGCTCCATCCCTATCCCCATCCCACTCCAACTCCAACTCCTCTCCCTTTCTCCCCTTATTCCCCAACCCTTTCTCTCGCCCTCCCTCCTTTCCTCTCCTCTCCCTCCCCTCCATCCCCTCCCCTCCTCCGCCCCCTCCCTTCACTTAACTTCCCCTCTCCCCTCCCCTCCCCTCCCCTCCCCTCCCTCCCTCCCTCCTCCCCTCCCCTCCCTCCCCCTCCCCTCCCCCCCCCCTCCTCCCTCCTCCCTCCCCTCCCCCCTCTCCACTCTATATGAAATGTTTTCGACCGCCAACCGACAAAGCACAATAAAACTGAACAAAGAAAATGGCCCTGCACTGTTTCACGGCGTATCAAAGGGCCAGAAATTCACCCATTTTGGGAAGAGACGTGGGGGTGAGGAGGGAGGTAAAGGGGGGGGAGGAGGGAAATGAAGGGGAGGAGGGGATGCAGGAAGTGAAGGAAGGAGGGGAAGAGGGGAGAAAAAGAAGGTAGTGGATGGGAATGGAGGGGGGAGAAAGGGAGGGAAAGGAAGGAAAAGAAGAGAAGGGAGGAACGTACGGAGGGAGAAAGGGAGGAAAGGACGGAGGGGTAGATAGGGAGAGGGATGTAATTTTCGCACTTTCGGAAAGGGGGAAAGGGGAAACAAAAATCATTTTTGCGTTATTTTATATGAGGAGAAAGTATACGAGTAAGGAGAATTTTCTTACCCTTTCGCGAATAAGGGGACAAGGGATAAGGACAACATTTCGCTATCTTTCGTGATTAGGGGAGAAGGGAAGGGGAAGAAATTTCGCACTTTTTTCGCGACTGGATAAAAGAAGAAGAGAAGGAAGGAGAATTTCTCTCGCGCTCTTTCGGGAAAGGGAAAAGAGGGGGAAAAGAAAGCCATTTTCGCGACGTTTCCATAACGGAAAGAGACAGGACAGAGAACGAAAGGGAGCGGACAAACCCCCAACAACTCCCATATACTCTAAAAGCCATTCTCTGCAAACATTTAAAAAAAGAGAAAAAAAAAAGAAACAAGTGAAGCCTCAATACGTCCGGAAATCACAGCCTCTTATTCGGTCTTCTGTCATCAGCACCGTCGCCATATTAAAGAGTATCGATTGCCGAGGATGAGAGTACGCCAAACACGCGCAAAAACCGGAAATGGACCGCCCCAGATCTACGTCATCTCTCGCTCACACCGAACCAACCCGAGCAAAACAACAAACAAAATCAAAGCAACAACAAAAAATGAAAAAAAGAAACCAAGAAAAACAAAGAAAAAAATACAATGAAGAGGTTAGTGAGAGGTTACTTCTCAAGGATCATAAAACTCTACGACATCTCATTACAACTCTATCAAACTTGGCTTCTTGTTCGCTCTTCGTTCGTCGACACCCTTCCCCCTCGTCCTTTCTCTCTCTCGCTCTCGCTCTCTCGCTCTCTCTCTCGCTTTCTTGCTCTCTCGCTCTCTCACTCTATCGCTCTCTCGTTCTCTCGCTTTGTCTCTCTTTCTTTCTTTCTTTCTTTCTTCCCTCTCCCTCCTTTCCGTTCCGTGTGCGTGTGTGTGAGAGGGGGGGGGGGTCGTGCGTCCGTGCGTGTGTGTCTCAAAGCAACACTAACAACAATGAAAACAAGAAAAGTAGTGAAAGGAGGGAAAGAAAGCGATGAGTGGAAGAAAAAAGTTAAAGCAGCGGGGGCGGGGGGCGGGGGGCGGGAGTGTGACACCGTCCAAGAAGGTAATGACAAAGAGCGACAGTTTCTATTTATAGCAATGTTGCAGAAACACGCTAACACACTTTCAGAAACTCAAGCATGCAGATACACACACGACATGCTAACACCACCACCCCCAGAAACTCACAAACACACAGACAGACAGATGGGCAGACAGACAGACAAACAGGCAGACGGAAACACACAGACACACACGCACACAAACGATTACATCGACACCGATATGCACATACTTGAAGAAAATACAAATGACAATTTCCTTCTTTTTTACATTGTTAAAGAGACTTTTCTCACACTCACTCTTTCTTCTCTCTCTTACCCATTCATTCACTCAATCACACTCACTCTCACTCACTTACTAACCCACCTTACCTTTCTTCTCACCCTGACCTTCTCCTTTCTCCATCTCCCTCTCTCTTTCTCTCTCTCACTCACGGAATTTTTTAAACAATTTGCTTTGTTGGTCGAGTAATCACCGGCTCTTTAATTCGCCAAGCTTCTTTCAATCCTCTGTGCTTGCTTTCTCTTTCCCTCTCTTGATCTTTGTGTGTGTGTGGCTTTGGTCTCTCTCTCTCTCTCTCTCTCTCTCTCTCTCTCTCTCTCTCTCTCTCTCTCTCTCTCTCTCTCTCTCTCTCTCTCTCTCTCTCTCTCTCGTCCGCTTGGTCTTCCATGCCTTTCTCTTTGTCTCTCCCCATTTTTTTCATTTCTCCCATTCTTTAATCTTTCGCTCAGTGTCTGTCTCCTAGTCTCCGCCTTCATCTCTACTCCGTTTCTTCCTCTGTCCCTCCCTATCCCTCTCTCCCTTTCTTCTGTCCCATCTCCCCCCCCTCCCCTCCATATCGAAAAACCTAAACATATCCTACTTCCCTTCCTACCTTCTCCTTCCCTACTTCCCTTCCTTCTTACCCAACCCCACTTCCCTGTCCTTTTCATCCCCCCCTAAACCCTTACCCGAAGCCCCCCCCCCTTCCCCCGGCCCTAAACCTTCCCCAACCACCTTCTTATTTCACGAATCAGCCGCGCTTGGCAATCTCATATCACGGTGGAACCAGAGGATAATGTCTAATATCACACAGTAGCATCGGAAGTGCTCGCTTTTCCTTGGGAGACGGGGACGGGGGGGAACGGGAGGGGGGAGGGAGGGGGAAGGCGGAGGAGGAGGGGAAGAGAGAGGAGATAGGGGAGGGAAAGGGGAAAGGGGGAGAGGAAGAGAGGAAGCGACAAGAGAGAAAGAAGAGAGAGAGGAGAGAGAGAGAGAGAGAGAGAGAGAGAGAGAGAGAGAGAGAGAGAGAGAGAGAGAGAGGAGAGAGGAGAGAAGAGAGAGAGAGAGAGAGAGAGAGAGAGGAGCGAGGAGCGAGAGGAGGAGAGAGAGAGAGAGCGAGAGAGCGAGAGAGAGAGAGAGAGAGCGAGGAAAGAGAGAGAGAGAGAGGAGAGAGAGAGAGAGAGAGAAGAGAGAGAGAGAGAGGAGAGAGAGAGAGAGAGAGAGGAGAGAGAGGAGAGAGAGAGAAAAGGGGGGAGGGAAGAGGAAGGGAGGCGAGAAGAGGGGAAAAAAGAATAAAGGAGTGAAGACGAGAGGCGAGAAAAAACAAGAGGACAGAAAAAAATAGAAGATAGAATAGAGAAGAGAGGAGAGGGGAACAGCCGAAAAAAGACAACAGCTGATACCACAGCCGCAGCAACAGCAGGGCCGCCGAACGCTCCACTCGACACCATAGCAGCAGATGCTATTTCAGACCCATCGGACCGTGAAAGGACGACTCGCGAGGATCCAGCAGGGACACGAAGAAGTTAGCAGAATCCAGCAGGAGGCCAACCAGCTGTTAAAAGCTAATGCGAGCTCGAAGAAACCTCAAGAAACCCAAGGACACCAAACCCGAGTCACTGGGAATCCACGGGACTCTCCAGAAACCATTAGGGATCACCGGGAAACCACCGACGCAGCAGAAACCAGCGGAAACCAACAAGAATCGCCGAGAATCAGTAGGCGGAGTCGGAGTCAGAAACTACATACAACAGAAAAATAACCAACAGGAGCTAACTACATACAACAGAAACCCCCAAATAACCAACAGGAGCTAACTACATACAACAGAAACCCCTAACCAACACAACTAAATACAACAGAAACCCCCAAATAACCAACAGGAGCTAACTACATACAACAGAAACCCCAAATAACCAACAGGAGCCAACTAAAATACACAGAAACCCCCAATAACCAACAAGAGCTAACTACATACAACAGAGAAACCCCAAATAACCAACAGGAGTAACTACATACAACAGAAACCCCCAAATAAACCAACGAGCTACAATAACAACAGAAAACCCCCAAATAACCAACAGAACTCAACTACATACACAGGCAAGAGCTAACTACATACACAGAACATAACCAACAAGAGCAACAACTAAACCCCCAAAATAACCAACAAGAGCTAACTAACACAAACAAAACCCCCAAAACCAACAAGAAACCCCCAAACCAACATGAGCCAACTACAATACAAACAGAAACCCCCAAATAACCAACAAGAGCTAACTACATACAACAGAAACCCCCAAATAACCGCCCGCCGCCCTCGACAGACACCGAAGCAGTAACACAAGAACCAGCAGGAGCATCGGGAGCAGAAAATACCTCAGCTTCGAGCAGGAGACCCGACAGAAAGAGCCTTCCTTCGTGCAATCATCGCCTGTCATGCGAGGCTTGAGTCATGTCATGTCGCGTCACGTCAATGTAGAATCATGAACAGCATCACCACAGATGGGTGATTTGTCATGTAGCGAGAGTGGGGAGGTATGTGCAAGTGATAGCGAAAAAAGAATATAATATAAAGAGGGAGGCAGGGAGAGAGGGAGGGCAAGGGAGAAAGGGAGGGAGTGAGGGAAGGAGAGAGAGGGAGGGAGGGAAGAGTGAAATTGAGAGGGAGAAGGAAATGAAAGAAAGAAAGAGATTGGAAGGGAGGAGATAAGATGAAAGAGAGGAGAGAGAGAGAGAGAGAGAGAGACGAGAGAGAGAGGAGAGAGAGAGGAGAGATGAGAGAGAGAGAGAGAGAGAGAGAGAGAGAAGAGAGAAGAGAGAGAGGAGAGAGAGAGAGAGAGAGATGAGAGAGAGAGAGAGAGAGAGAGAGAGAGAGAGAGAGAGAGAGAGAGAAGAGAGAGAGAGAGAGGAGGAGAGAGAGAGAGAGAGAGAGAGAGAGA